CTTTATTTGCCATGTGTTCTCAGAAGAAAATTTTTTCCTAAGAAAGCTTTCAGTGCATTTGTCCTGGGAGTAGGGATGGGGATTATGGTAGCCCAAGGACATAGTGGGAGAGGAGATGGGGTCTTCATCCAGATCTTACCCCTAATGTAGGTGTCCCTCAAGGTTCTGTCCTGGGCCCGCTTTTCTTCTCCTTCTATACTGCTTCACTTGGTGATCTCATAAGCTTCCATGGATTTAAGTACCATCTCTATGCTGATGATTCTCAAATCTATCCTGCCCTAATCTCTCCAATCTTACATCTCCAATTGCCTTTCAGACATCTTGAACTAGATGTCCAATAGATATCTTACCTCAGTGTGTCCAAAACCAAACTCTATCTTTCCTCCTAAACCCTTCCCTGTGCACATCTTCCCTATTACTGTAAAGGATAGCACTATCCTTCCAGTCCCTCAGGCCTTGTATCCTAAGAATTACCTTGGATTCTCCAATATCTCTTATCTCCCCCATATCCATGCTGTGGCCAAGGCCAGTCAATTTCCCCTTGACAACATCTCTCAAATACACCCCTTATCTCCTCTAACATGACCACCACTGTAGTGTAGGCCCTTTTCCTGGATTATTATAACAGCCTGATCTTGGGCCTGCCTGTCTCAACTCTTTCCCCCCTCCAATTCATCTAGCATTTAGCCACTAAAGTGAATTTCCAAGACCTACTCAGAAAACTCCAGAGGCTTCCTGTTGCTTCCAGAAGCATGTACAAAATGCTCTGTTTGGCATTCAAAGCCCTCCATCATCTACCGCTCAACTACTTTCCAGTCTTCTCACACCTTACTCCCTGACACATATTCTTCAATCCAGTGATGCTGGCTTCCTGACCATTCCACAAACAAGACACCCTCAGCTCTGGGCATTCTCTCTGACTGTCCCACAGTCCTAGTATGCTCTCTCTCCTCCATTCCACCTACTGACCTTCCTGGCATCCTTTAAGTCTTTTGATTCTTTTTCTATTTTCTGCACTTAGCATAGTGCCTGGCACATAGAATGTAGGCACTTAATACATGTTTATTGATTGGTTAGTGATTGAGATCGCCTTTCAAAACTGCTGAGCTTTTTCTCCATTTAGGAGAAATTTTTTTAAGCTTTTATTTAGTATTTTATTTTTCCCCCACTCATATATACAAGCAAGTTTTAGCATTCATTTGTAAAATTTTGAGTTCCAAATTCTCTCCCTTCTTCCCTCCCTATCTTCCCTTTGAGAAAGCAAGCAATTTCATATAGGTTATACATGTGTAGTCATGCAAAACATATTTATAATAGTCATATTGTGAAAGAAAACATAGACAAGAAAAAAAATCTCAAGAAAAATAAAGTTTTTTAATGCTTCAATCTGTATTCAAACATCAACAGTTCTTTCTCTGGGGATGGATAGCATTTTTTATCATAAGTCCTTCAGAGTTGTCTTGGATCACTGTATTGCTGAGAATAGCTAAGTCATTCACAGCTGATCATCTTACAATATTGCTGTTACTTTGTACACAGTACATTTAACTTTGCGTCAGCTCATGCAAGTCTTTCCAGGTTTTTCTGAGAGCATCTTGCTCATCATTTCTTATAGTACAATAGTATTCCATCATAGTCACATACCACAATTTGTTCAACCATTCCCCAACTGATAGGCACTCAACTTCTAATTCTTTATCCACAAAAAAGAGCTGCTATAAATATTTCTGTACACATAGATCCTTTTCCTTTTTGTTTTTTACCTCTTTTGGGATACACACCTAGTAATGGTATTGCTAAGTCAAAGGGTTTGCATGGTTTTGTAGCCCTTTGGGCATAGTTCCAAATTGCTCTACAGAGTGGTTGAATCAATTCACAACTCCACCAACTGGTTATTAAAGTCTCATTTTTCCCACATTCCCTCCAATGTTCCCTCATTTACCTTTTCTGTCCTATTATCCAATTTATTTCTTGATTTCTCATAAAGTCAGTAGCTTCCATTTGCTCTATTCTAATTTTCAAGGAATTATTTTCTTCAGTGAGTTTTTGGACCTCCTTTTCCATTTGGCCAATTCTGCTTTTTAGGGCATTCTTCTCCTCATTAGCTTTTTGGACCTCTTTTACATTTGGCGTATTCTGTTTTTGAAAGTGTTATTTTCTTCAGCATTTTTTTGTGTCTCCTTTACCAAGCTGTTGACTCATTTTTCATGATTTTCTTGCATCACTCTCATTTCTCTTCTCGATTTTTCCTCTTCTTATCTTACTTGACTTTCAAAATCCTTTTTGAGCCTTTCCGTGGCCTGAGACCAATTCATATTTTTCTTGGAGGCTTTGGATGTAAGAGCTTTGACTTTGTTGTCTTCTTCTGAGTGTGTGTTTTGATCTTCATCGTCACCATAGTAACTTTCAATAGTCAAGAGTTTTTTCGTATTGTTTGCTCATTTTCCCCAGCTTATTAGTTGACTTTTAAGTCTTTGTTAAAGTAGAGTTCTGCTTTTAGGGTGGGGGGCACACTGTCCCATGTTTCAGGGGGTTTGTGCCGCTATTTTCAGAGATACTTCTAGGGACCTACAGGTCCCCAGTTTTCAGTTATTTCAAAGATGGTATGGTCTAAGGAGAGGTGTTTACTACTCTCCTGGCCTGTGCTCTGGTCTGTGAGGGACCACAAGCACTCTTTTCTGCCATGGAACTATAAGGAGGTCCCCCCTCCACTGTGACTGCAAGTTCTTCTGTGCTTCTCCTTACCCTGGGATTGTTATCCAGAAACCAGATCCAAGTATGGGCAAAGCAACAGAGTCCTGCCTCAGTCCTAGCAAAAAGACCCCTGTAATCTCCTTCCAACTAGTTATTTGACCCCCTTACCATCTGTGGGCTGAGAGCTCAGGAAGCAGCTGTTGCCGCTGCCACTACCGCTGCTGATTCAGTCATTCTCAAGCTCTGCTCCTGGTTTGCTGAAGCTGGAGGCTGTGCTGACACAGCCTGTGCTGGACTGCACTCCACTCTCACTGAGGTGAGAGGGACCTTTCCTACTGACCTAAGTTATGTTTGGCATCTATGGGCTGAGAGGTCTGGAAACTGCTGTTGCTGTGAGTGATTCAGTTGCCCCAAGCCTTTTCTGGGTTTGCTGAGGTCCAGTCTGACAGACATGGCCTGCGTTGGACTGTGCTCCTCACTCACCCTGGTGCAACAGACTTTTCCTGCTGATCTTCCAAGTTGTTCTGGGCTAGAAATTTGTTTCACTCCATCTTTTTTTTTTCTTTTTGGTGAAGCAATCAGGGTTAAGTGACTTGCCCAGGGTCACATAGCTAGTAATTGTCAAGTATCTGAGGCTGGATTTGAACTCAAGTCCTTCTGACTCCAAGGCTGGAGCTCTATCCACTTGTTCACCTAGCTGCCTCTTCACTCCATCTTTTTGTGGGTTCTGCAGCTCTATAATCTGTTTACAGTCATTTTTTAAAGGTATTTGGAGGTTTCAGGGGAGAGCTCAGGCCAATCCCTGTCTTTACTCCACCATCTTGGCTCCCCATTTAGAAGAAATTTTACTGATAGATGTTATTACTGCTCTCCTAAAGAAGGGAAAAGATTAAATCAATTCTGACCTTGATTCCTCAGGATAAGAGAGGAGGCTTGTTGGAAAGCAGAAAAGGGAGAAAGGCAGTAGCTCTAGACAAGTTTCCCATTATTGTCCCAATCACTAAACCCTCCCCCAGCAGGTTAGAGAGCCCCATCTTTCTCTTCTCCCCCTCCACATATATTAATGGAATTGTCTAACCGTTGGAGATACCTGAAGGAAAGAGCTGAGAAATAGCAAATCAGATAACGTGGAGATAGTTAACTTTCCTTGTTAACCAACTACCTGCCCCTAAGCACTGTTAAACAGGGACACGTTATTATGAGAAAAAGCATCATAATCATAGCAGTTCACATTTTAAGGTTTTCGAAGTGGTTTACATACATTTTTTGATTAGCTCCTCACAACAACACTTTGAACTAAGTACTACAGGTTATCCCCATTGGACAGAGGCAGAAACAGTGACTCTGAGTTTTAAGTGACTTGCTTACAATTACCATACTAATGGTAAGTGTCAGAGGAGGCCAGAACTGAACCCAAGTCTCTCTTAACCCCACTAAACCATACTATCTCTCTCATACTATCACTTCCCAGTTTTGTACAAACTTATTTCAGCACTGGTTTCTAGGCCATCTGTGGCATTGTTCCAAATATGACTACCACCACCACTATGAATGTTTATCCCACTGTTCCCTTCAGTTGGTGGACCTGATATGCCTAAGAATACAGATCTCAGTGCGGGGAACACTGTTGAGTGGTACTGAAAACAGAAAGGGTCTGAATTATATTTCAGAGTGTAAATCTAAAAAGACATGAAAAAGCATGGCTTCTTGTTTCCTGATACTGAGGTGCTGTGTTCTGATAATTTTCCTATTCACATAACATTGATTCAATCCAATAAGCATTTATTAAATGCCTGTCGTGAGCAGAACTCTGCTAGGCACTGGGGAGATTTAAGGTTAAGAAAAGGCAGGGTCTCTGCCTTCATGGATCATACAGCCCTCCTCCCCAATTTTTTTTTCAAACAGCATAATTCTAGAATATAGGTTATATTATTAAAGACTAAATTTCACTGAAGTTATTAATTATTTAGCCATTTTAATAAGCAATGTCAACATATAAAACCTCTGACAGGTTAACAGTAATAGAAAAATATACAGTGATTTTTATGTCGGAAGAGAGGCTTAAAGAAAAAAGCCTTTCCAAAATCGTATTTTTTAAAAAGTAGTCTAATTCTTTTCAGATACTATACAATAATTTTAGTAAAGTTAGAAAAATACAGTCTTTACACATACAGCACATCTGAGATTGAATACTTTACTGGGTTTTGTTAAAGTTATTATCAAAGTTAGTCAAAGCCAACAGACGAGCATACAATTTGGGGTCCATAGTGAAGGCAGCACAGACAAGAATAAGTAGGAAAGCTTACTTGTTCTTTTAGTTGATTCACTTTTTCCTGAAGAAGCCTTTTTACCAGTTTCAACTTTTGTTCAACTTCTATCATGCGTTCCTCCATAGCCATTACCAGCTGCTTTTGACTCCCCTAGAAAAGAAAATAACTTCTGATACTTGAAAACTACACCACCGAAGACATCTATGCCTCTGCAGTAAGGAAGAAGAGAGTGAACACTGTGTAATATATAGAAGGATGGATTTCTACCTGGATGAAATGGAAGTTTTAGACATTACATTGATTATTCATATTAAAGACCAAAAGTTTAAAAAAACCATCTTCACCAGAGATAAAATAAAATCATTTTAAAACTTATGAACAAATAGTAGCTTCTGTTGCCTATTTCTATTTATTCTAACAAAGGTGTTATTGTGACTATTTCCTCCTTTTTGTCTTTGATTTTTGGCCATTATTTTATTGATAGCCTTTCCTCAACAATAAATAGCAACCATTTAAAATGTTATCCAGGGTTTTGCCTACCATATTTACAGCTGCCTGGTTTTCCTATGTTGTGTTTGATAACTAAGACTTTGGAAATGTTTGTTTTTCATAATACCTCTTCTGATCTTTATTTTAGTGATCGCTTTCCCAATCTTACTTGTGCAAGTGAAGGAAACAAATTGCCGAGATGATTTTGTCATCAAAACAAAGTCCAGATTGGGAAAGCTTAGCTAGTAGTTGTTTAACATAATGGGCAAGAAAACAACAAGAATATCAATAGGCCATTTATATACCACTTGAAGCTTTGCAAGGTGCTTAGCATATATTATCTCATTTGAGCCCTATAACAACCACTTAGGTACTATGGGTGAGGAACCTGAAACACAGAAAAGTTAAAGGACTTGATTATGTTCAAACAGATAGTGTCAAGAGGCAAAATTTGAATCCAAGACTCTTCTGATTCCAGGTCAGAATTCTTATTACTATATTATGCTACAAAAGAACTAGGTAAAGCTGTGACCTTTCCACATTCTCTTATTCAATTAAGATAGAAAAGTGTAAAGAATTAAGAAAGGCAAGACATTTGTTGTATTGAAGGTCATCACTAAAGTTTTCAAATATAAAATAAAGATTTTATATTTCAAATGGGACCTGCTAAAAGTTATAAGCAAAACCTAGATTTTAATAAGCACTGGAATATTTTATGATTTAAAAGAATCTTTAAAAGATATCCCCCCAAAAGCTGCATTGACCACATAGGTATATCAAACATGCTTCAAATGCCAGGATGTGTTTGGAAGTTAAAATATCAGAACTTATTCAATCTTTTCACCTCAGTCCCACTTGGATGCTTCATCACTGCATGGTGGTTGTCAAAGACTATGCCTATAGACTAGAAGCTCTAGTTGATCTGATCTACCTAAAGAGTCTTCGATTAGGGGGTTTGGTAACAAAAGGTTTGGTCATTAGATGATGAAATTTTTTGGACCCAGAAATTCAAGAAACTTTCTACTAAGGTAGTACAAAACCATAAAGGTATTGAGGATAACATATTTACTAAGTCATGAAAGAGGTCATTTAACCATGTGAATATTTTAAAATCAGAAAAGCTTTTAAAAGACAATTGAGAATCTGATTTCAAATTTATCTCTAAAATATCAGACATTGAAAAAACTATGGTAAAAAATATTTGGAGTTTTTTTATTATTTTAAGTAAATATTACTCATATTTATTTTTAATGTTTTGATCTCAGGCCTGCACAGCTTGCGGCCCATCTTAGAAGATTTCTTCTACATATTAAGGATGTTTTCCTTTACATTTTTCATGGGCTGACCGAAATCCTTTGATGTGCTGCAAGCAGCTTAAGGGGCCACAAGTTGTACAGGCCTGATTTATCCATTTCATACTTAAATGGAAGAGTACCTACTTTCCACTTGTCTAGGGGGAAAAATCCATAATTCAAGCAACATTATTGCCCTCCAAATTAATTGTGACTTATGATTGAAAACACTGCATATGACAAGAAAATTAAATGAAGAGGAGGAACAAAGATATTTGTATTTTGAAGCTTTTTTACTTATTACATCACAATTGTAAGAAAAAAACTCTGCTAAAAAAGTCTCATACAAAACAGTATAAGTAATCTTGATTTTCTTCAAATTCCAAATAAAAATTAGCATATTCTCTTAAAAATAGTTAGAACAGATAGAATGAGAATATATATAGCATATGTTCCTTCAAGAGGCCCAAATCCAGGGGGCAGCTAGGTGGAGCAGTGTATAGAGCACCGGCCCTGAAGTCAGGAGGACCTGAGTTCAAATCTGGCCTCAGATCAAACACTTGACACCTACTAGCTGTATGACCCTGGGCAAGTGACTTAACCCCAATTACCTAAAACACACACACACACACACACACACACACACACACACACACACACACACACACAAAACTTTGGGGCAGCTAGGTGGCACAGTGGATAGAGCACCAGCCCTGGTTTCAGGAGGACCTGAGTTCAAATCTGGCCTCAGACACATAACACTTACTATCTGTGTGACCCTGGGCAAGTCACTTAACCCCACTGCCTAGCCAAAAAAAAAAAAGCCCAAATCCAATCACAACCACTATATACTATACTAAATAGTATAAATAAAAATTATTCATAACAAGCTGAGAATAATAGCATTTATGATTTTGATTCACAGAATCCTTTGTTTCCACATAAACAAAACAGACAAATTACTATGACTAACTTAAGAGAAATAACAATAGCAATTTAAAGGAATACATTGATTCCAACACATTTTTGACTCTGTGTGTGTGTGTGTGTGTAATGGTAAGAAAACTGATCATTAGAAGTCAAATTTCATAGGAGTACAATCCTATGCTCCGGTAGCAGGGCCTAGAGGAAGAATGTTGGTGGTACACTTTGCTCTGATGTCAACATTATGTTTGAGGTTGAGATTTAAATTGATGCAATTATGTTTGCATCATTAATACATACATAGAATACTAACACTATATAACAAGCAAGCAAATCAATATGAAGGTAGAAGAAACTATTATTGCTTCACACAACTTATTTGGCCTACTGTAGGTTCATCAATGAAGTTATAATAGGAACTTAAAACTTAGTGGCAAAACCAAAAGTCCTTCAGATTTGTTTCCTAATTTTCTCATTCCTAATTGTGTGCTAATAAAAATCCACTGAGTTTTCTAATTGGAGAATTTTTTAGTCCAGCAAACTTTATCTTGTATTAGATTATATCACTGAAGTAAAAGGATCATGCCTTTTTTCTTTCACATAAGATATCACCTGACTTTTGGTATGGTTGTTGCCATACCTAGAGTGCTCTTCATCCTGTCTTCCCTGACTTCCTTCAGGTTGCAGATATAAAAACACTTCTGCAAGAAGCTTTTCCAGATCTCCTTTAATGCTAGTGCCTTCCCTCTAAGATTCTCTCCAATTTGTCCTGTATATAACTCATTTGTACTTAGCTTTTTCACATGGTGCCTCTCACATTAATTGAGGTCCTTAAGAAAGAAAACAAACAGATTGGATTTTGGGTTTCGGTTTTGTTTTTTTTGGCTTTTCTTTGTATCCCAAAGCTTAGTTTTAAGTGCTTGGCACTTAAATGCTTGTTGACTTTAACTTGACTACTTTCTGGATAATACCACAGAATATTTTCCTTTAAAAAAAGTGTCTTTCTGAGACCAACTATTGCAAAACTGTTTTTATTCTCTATTTCCATAAAAACTCCAGGTTCAAAATTTTATAATATAAATTTTCTAATTTAAACAAAGGGATGAATGTTTCCACCACCACCACTCTGCAACTTTATTTTGAAAATAACCTTTATTACTAGAAATTTATGTAAATGGGCTACATAGCATATCCTCATAATAACATATTCTAAAAGCACATAATCAACACACATGTGACACACATAGGTGACTAAGGTCTCACTTTAAAAAGGGAACCTAAGGGGCAGCTAGGTGGCTCAGTGGATAGAGCACCGGCCCTGAAGTCAGGAGGACCTGAGTTCAAATCTGGTCTCAGACCAAACACTTGACACTTACTAGCTGTGTGACCCTGGGCAAGTCACTTAACCCCAATTGCCTAAAAGCCAAAAAATGAAAAAAATTAAAAATAAAAAGGGAAGCTACAATAAAGTAGCTGAAAGTAACAAGTCCCACTCCCAAAATGTCAGAGGTATGGCAACCTTAATGACCAATTTTCAGAATCACCACATAGGAGATTAGAGAAAGAGTTAAGAAACTTGTGTTTCTTATTTAAATGTGGGAAAGACAATCTATTTCAATGAATGAGAATGCAGACTGTAAGAAGTCACTTTAGCATTTCACAAATTAACCAGTTCTTACTGTGTACTTAGGTTATACCGAATTTTGGACCAAAACAGATGGGACCAAGAAGCGAGGAAACTACTGGGAAGTATGCTGAAAGAATATTTGAAAAGAGTTCCTGAATCACTCAGGCTGAAAAAAATAAAAGAGCCACGATAGTGAAATAAGAAGCAAGCCGCTCTCATTCTCCTTTACTGAGCCCAGAAAATATTGCCCCAGGAAAAACCCTGGAACAGCTGAGCCAGCAGAAAGATGAGTACAACAGTCTTGTAGGCCAGGAAGCCTGGGGATTAACAAGAAAAGTCCCTCTCATTCTGGTGGAGGAGAAGTAGGGAGGCATCCTAGCAAGCCTGGCAAACCCCACTTCAGCAAACCAAGGGGAGATACTGAGTCCCAGGGTGGCGGAACAGTAAAGCACCAGTACCAGGAGCCCCCCCAGTGCCTTGGCACAGGCAGGAGAACTGGTAGACTCCAGCTTGAAAAACCACAACATACGCCAGTGGGCAGGAAAACCCCCCAGTGCTTCAGCACAACTACAGAAAGCAAAACTCCAAGTGGACAGGCATCCTCCAGCGGCCAAACTTTCCAGTGCTTCAAAGTAGCCTGGGTGAACAGACACCTCCAGGCGCCAGAACCCTACCCACCCTCCCAGCACCACCAAAAGCTTCAGTGTTGCTAACCCCAATTCAGCACCAGGTAAGCTGCTGGAACCCTACAACCTCCAGCTGCCAGCACCTGAGGCCCCAGCACAAAAAGCCAGTGACCAGGTGCCTGGCCCCTAGCA